CCCCCCCCCCCCTGCCTCGTGTTGTTGCGCCCCCTGTGAATAATACCCGTTCTCCTCTGGCGTTGCTTACATCGCTCGTGCGCACACCACAGAACGCTGCGATCGCAGTGCAGGTTCACGTCCGTCGACTCATAGCTTCCAAGAGAGTGAGGGGGGTGCGACACACTCGACGCGCGCAAGCTCAGGCCCGCATCGCTTCTGCCGTGCGGCATCGAGCTGCGCGCATCCAGCAGAGAGAGAGAGAGCAGCGAGAGGAGCAAGAACAACGAGAGCGAACAGGAGGAGGGGATCACGATATCTCCTACTCCCTCGAGATGGCAACGATGAGAACAGTGAGTTGACACCGCAGTGAAGCATTGAGAGGCTTGGCCGAATTGAATGCGCTGATTGAGAGTGCATGTCGAAGTACGTTTGATTCTAGGGCAAGAAGTATTGGTAGATTCTGATCGAGATCCATTTTTTTCGGCCGGATTTGTTCATGCTTGTTTATGGAGGAAGGCGACTCCCGAGAAACTATGGAACACAAACACAGGGAATGTTCCTTTGTCTTGCTTGAATACAGAATGTAAGCAGTCAAATCAGAATAAGCAGTCACATCAAAGCATCATGTGGTTTCTGCAAAGGGTTGCTGGTGCTGTCCCCGTCGTCCACGAATGAGACTCGACCCGCTTCATAGTACAGGCTAAATTTTCTCAATGGTATCGAGGAGTCCTGAAGCGATCTGCGGTAAGGATTGGTAAATCAACTCTCCCTTTAGGGTAGACACCTGGGGATGTGAAACGAGGGAATCGTACTCGATGGACGTTGAGGAAACGCGACTTTTCATTTAAGGCCACCTCCACACCACGGTCATGGCTATCTTGCCTTGGACATGTGTATCGGGGATGAACGCATGTAAACGATGCGCTCGGAAAGCTTTAGCCGACATCGCTTCGCCCACTTGCCTGTACCCGACGTTGTTGCCGTCCGTTGTTTTTCACGCAACAGAAACCTTTGTCGCTTCAACCTGACGAGGCGGCCACGCGCATACAGGCCTGGAGACGCGGGATATACTACCGACGAGTTGCTGGCGTAGCAGCGGCCCAAGCCGCGCGGCGGGTAAGAACGCGTCCGTTTCTTTCTCCCTCAGGTGCTGAATATGCACGTCGTGCCTCGTAGACTTCATTGTACGTACTTGCGAAATTTCTAATGACGGGCGTGTCGGATGTAGGGGAACCCGTGTATATTTATCAAACCGAAGACTACGAAGAATTGAATCGATTCGCCGCCAGTCGGTCGGGTTCCGGTGATAAAAGCCGGCTTCTTGCCTAGCAACCAAGAATAGGGCCCGCAAAGGGGGGGTAATGAGGAGGTCCTTTTCACAAAGGGTACAATCTCCCCAACGTCTGTCGAGGACGACCCTCCTGTCGCACATTATGCAAAACACTCTTGACAACGAGCGGTGGTCGTGCAAGTCCTGTAAGGCGAGTCGCACCCGTGCGTCCTGCCGACTGCTCAACGGAGCATCAAAGTGGTGAGACAAAAAAGAATGTACCGTAAACGTCGGAGTTTTTGGGGAGGGAATCGTTTGTTTTTCTGAAACCATACCCCCCGGGGGGAAATTGACGTACCGCGGGGGGTTAGATTTTTTTTTTCCAACGCTACCCCGGGGGGAAGCCCCTCCCCGAGGGGTTATGCAAAATAATGATGGTCCACACACCACACACACACACAGTGGCGAAACTGAGATGGATAAGGTTTACGAGCAAGCGCTCAACAGGCAGAGGGAGGAGGAACGTAAGAGCAATCTAAATCTCGCTCGAAGCGCAGATCTGCAAATGAACTGCCGTCCCATATCATGCTTTTTGTGCTCCGCGATGCAACAAAATCGACTCAGAAAACAAGGGAAATACATCCCCCCCGGAGGGAACTCGTGGGAGAACAGGTAGCCCGGGGGGAAATTGAGATACCCGGAGGGATGTTCTTTTTTTTTTTTGTCGAAAACGATCTACCCGTGGCTGCTTCCAGGCCGAAAAGGTGATGGGTGGGGGAGGGAACTCTTCTGGGGGGGGGGAACTCCGACGTTTACGGCAATCAATCAGAACATCCAAAGATCGGGCAACCGGCCAACAGTAAATAAAATGATGTAACGTGGAGATGATCATACGCACCTGCAGGAGGAGACAACGACGACGATGACGGCGAAAGAGCCTCCCCGCCGCGATCAAGGCAGCGGCAAGAGTGCGCACTTGCGGGCTGCTCTAGAAGCCCTGCAGGCGGCGCACTCTGCTGTCGTTCTGTCGAAAAAGTCTACCTCCAACGACGAAAGGAGGAGGCACACAAGCAGCCAGGATGTGGTACGGAAAACCGTGGAGGAGAGAAACCCGAGGCAAGTACGCACGCAATCGCATAAAAACCCCATTAATGTGTCATGGTGAGTGCCAAACTTGCAAGCCACACCCAAAGAGAGACTACTCTCTGCCGCCTGTTGTCAATAAGTACTGTTTCATTTGCTCCCCTTTGGGTTGGAAAAACACTTTAAGATAGTACATATTCATGCGTCACGTGATGTTTTTTCCAAAGGTATTGGGTCCTTATACATTTGGTTTGATCATGGACCTAACGCCTGTCTTGGCTCTTAGGGGGCTCTGCCGTTATTCTTCATTTTTGGGTGCTCGTCTTTCCCTTGTGTACGCAAAGCTGGCGTGGGTCATTCTCCGAAATGGAACTTGAGCTATCCTGCACTCCAAGCGTTGTGGGAAATTAGGTTATTGCTCATGCCTTTCACGCGGGATCTGCTCCGCTCTGAATTCCGTCCACCCATAGATCTAGACTCAGACCTATGTATTGGCTAACTGAGCGCGATGGACGTAAAAACAACCCCCCAAAAAGCTAGAGTAGATGAGCCAGTGCGACTCATAGGGACTCTTTGTCATGGAGCTTCTCCTGGAAATTACTATCGCATGGTTCGAGGGCAGGGGGCTAAAAAGGATGGAGGATAATGACACTGGGAAACGATAAGCTGTAGAGGGCGGTGTCCATTGCAGCAAGCAGCAGCAACTTCCGTCCCTGCCCGTTCATAAAACAATCCGTGCACACCGACTCTGGACGACCGCGCAGGGGTCGGAATGGCACCAAAGACACAGCAGCCGCGCTCCTAGTGGATGGGCTTTCCTCACGGTGTGAAAGCCCGCGTGTCGACGAGCTGAGGCGGTTGGAGGCGAGGGTGTCGGCGAGGAGGACCACGCCTTCCTCGCCTGCAAGAGCGCGGCGAGCCAATCCCTCCCGAGAGAGATGAAGGATGTGTTCGCCGGTTGGCTGCTTCCGCTACCGCTGCGT